TATATATATATATATGAGCCCAATAAGATTACATGTCAACTCGAATTCTATTCATTTACACCTTTGTATAGTTTATAGTCATAGTGGGTCACTTCTGCACTTACGGGCCTTTTTCGTTTCTCATCTTATAGTTGATGGCTTTTTCTGATGAGATTCGTTGGCAGAATTATTAGTGCTTGGTGATATAAATAATAAAATTTAGATACTAAATATGTAAATTTTAATGTTTTGATCTGTGTTATTTATATAATCCTCCTTGATTTAATGTTAGTTTTATTGGAAAATGGTGTTATTAGGAATAAATTATTAATTATTTTGATCATTATTTAATTTATTTTCTTAAAAAATATAATACAATCCAGATAGTGTCTAATTTGTTCCTTATTTCGACCATGCTAATCTTAATGTTATTTTTCAATTTATCTTATTCTGTTGATAAGATAAAATTTAACTTCGAGTATGTTTGGGACGGCAGTGCGGCATTATAATTTTTCCTCTGTATTTTTGTTAAGTTCTCAAAAAATTGCTGTTGAAAATTGTATTTTCTATCTGATCTAACTGCCTATGATGTCTGTTAGAAAATTGCTTTCTCTCGTAATAGCTCCCATAACCTGTTTAACATTTAATTATCATATCATATGCCCACTTGGATGAGGCATAGTCCGTCTGAAATAGAATTTTATTGACTAATTTTAAGAGATAGTGGGCCAAATTTAATTATCCTTAAAAGAATAAAATTTTTTGAATGATTGCTCCTATGGCTGTAAGTGCTTGATAAGGACTTGTCTTCAATTTGACCACAAAATAATAAAAATAATAATTAAATATGCAGAACATAAACTATATGACAAGAATCTGAAAAAGAAATAAATAAATAAACAAAATCTAGTTGTATTTGAATGAACAGATTTAGTGGCTTATTTGATGGCTTGAATTTAGGAAATTTGATTTGAAAAATTAGTTTCTAAATTGTGTCATTTTGTTGGATAACACTAGTATAAAAGAGATAAAATAGGAGTCATGTTGAATTTTTAAGTGGAAAAATCTAGAAATAAAAAAAAACCGCGGGGCCTAGTCCATTTAAAATAATACACTATTTAATTGTAAGTACATAAACTCGCTCATATTGAATTAGAAAATATTAAATTATAGTTTTGATGTACAACGATAGTTCAACAATAATAATTTTAATGGGCCGCAAAGGCCATAGTCGATTTTTATGAAAGCAGTAGTCTGTCATGAATATTGTAAACGGTAAGAGTAGTTTAAACTTGATGTAAAGGCATTAGTTGAAAGTCGTGACAGATGGTTGCTTCAGGAGCGTCAGTTAACCAAAAAAGTTGTAATGGGGAGCTACAGGTGTTGTGAGCCATGTAAGCCCATAACGGTGAGCTGCGATAACATCAATAAGCCACAGAGTTTGGAGTTGGGAGCTGCATGAGCTGTGAGTCGTCCAAATCGTAGTGATGAGCTGTAATAACGTTTGTAGGCCATAGAGTCTAGAGTTATGAACTGTATGTGCCGTGGAATAGATCGCAGAAGACCATAGTTGATTTTTATGAAAACAATATCTATCATAAATGTTGTAAATTGTAGGAGTAGCTTCAACTTGCTGTAAAGTCAGTTGTTGAAAGTCGTGATAGATGATTACTTCAGGAGCGTCAGTTAGCCAAAGAAGTTGTAGTGGGGAGCTACAGAAGTTGTGAGCCACGTAAGCCCATAACAATGAGTTGCAATAACATCAATAGGCCACAAAGTCTGGAGTTAGGAGTTACATGAGTTGTGATCGTCTAAGTCGTAGTGATGAGTTGTAATAATGTTTGTAGGCTATAGAGTCCAGAGTTAGGAGCTGTATTAGCTATGAACCATGTAAGTCGTAGTTAGTTACATGGGCCGCATTAGTGAGTTGTAATAACATATGTAGGTCACATATGCCGGAGTTGGGAGCTGAGTGAGTTGTAGGCCATGTAGGTCCTGGTTGGTCATGTAAGTCGTAATCGTGAGTCACAATAGCGTATGTAAACCACAAAGGTGGGATCTGAACTTGCATGAGTTCAGGCCATAGTTGATCACATAGGCTGTAGTGATGAGCCATAATAATGTCTGTAAATCGTAGAAGAGAAAGTTGGAAGCAACATAAGTTGTGGATCATATATGTCGTAGTTGTTCGCATGGGTTGCAGTGCTAAGCAGCAATAACGTTCGTAGGCTACAGAGGTTGGAATTGAGAATGCATCAGTAGTAGACTACATAGGCCATAATTAGTCACTTAGGTCATAATGGTGAGCTGCGATGAGAGAACTTCATGACTTCAGATGAAGTTATCATATTCTGAGTACAATGATCGTAAGCCGTTATTGAAGAGATTTATTGTTGAATCCTCAATACGTCGTTACTCATGATCACTTATTGGGAGTATGTTGTTACATCGTATGCGGGTGTGCTATTGTACTGAATTCTGGTTGCGTCGTTGAATTGTTTTTAGGGTGTGTGCGTCGTTGCATTGTTTTCAGGATGTGTCATTACATTGTCTTCGGGTTCATTATTGCACTATCTTCGGGGTGCGTCGTTAAACCGTCTTAGGGGTCAGCCGTTGCATAATGTTTAACACGACGCATTGCTCCTTAGGGTGTTTCGTTATTCTACAACGTACGTTGTTATTCCACACAGAGCATTACTAAAATGAACAAAGGTGGTCAGTAGTGGTCAACAGCGACCGACGAGCGGTGGTAGGCAACTGCAGAAGCGATAAGTGTTTGTTGGTTCTTTGATCCAGAACAACGTTGGATTTCGGCTCCTCGTTCTGGTTCTTGGTCTAGCTCTAGTTATTGGTCTTTCGGTCTTCTTTCATTACGAGTGTAGGGCTTTATTTATAAAATCTAAGAGTAGTATCCATTGTAAATAAGTAAATTATCTAAACCACTCCATCAGATGACCCCGAAAGTCTCTCAAGATTGGACGATATTTTTGTGGACATTTTAGTTTCTTGTTGATGTCAAAATTGAGTAATTTTTGACTCGTTGGATTCGTCTTGTCGAGTCGCTCGATTCAACTATAAGCATGTCATGTTTTATAATCCATTTGAACTTCTAATTAGCGAGTTTAATGACTTGATTTGACTTTGATTGGGTCAATTTTGGTGTCATTAAATCATTCTTGTCGAGTCTGTCGGTCTGACTATAAGTTGGTTGAGTTTTGAATTATATTTAATTTGAGTTTGGAAATTTCTTCCTCAGTAAAAGCTCTGAGATTCATGTCATGCCTCTAGATTCATATTAGATCACAAAAATTTGCTGATGACATATCAATTTTATATTCTTATATGTATGCATATATATGTCTTTTCAAATATTATTACAACTCATTAAAAACAAGTATTTTATTATTACATTTAAATTATGCAGAAACATCCTAATGTTTTCCATCCAAAAGCAACTAATAGAGCTTTAAAATGCAGTTCAAATGCTAGAAATGTTAACATTATTTAATAAGTACCACTCAAATTTTATGCATTCACATGTCTAACGCATAAATTTTGATATTTAATTATATAATATTTTAATATCATAATCACATCAAAATATATGCACAAAAAAAAAACTTCATTTGAAAAGAATAAATATTAATAGTATTTTTATGTGATGTGAAATGGTATCGTATCATCGCCTGTAATTAGCTCTCCGCCCATTTTGTTCCTCCAGCCATCCAAAACGTTGCCGCTCCTTCGACGTGTCTGTTCTCCAGCAACAACTAGTTGATGAGTTGCCACTCATTCCTTCCATGAACTTAAGATTTCTCCTTTTTTAGGTTCGAATAATGCTCTAATTGCAGGATTTGACTTCTCATACGACTGAACATAAAAGTAGAAAAATATAGATTCCCTCAATTGAGAAAATTATGGATCCATTTGTAATTAAGCTCCTCAAATGCTCACAACGAAAGTCTAATTATGTACTTGATGGCTTATTTCAGGAGGAAGGCAGGCGGGCATGGCTGAGTGGAGCGATGGCGGTGGTGGGCCTGATCTTGCAATTAGTGTTAGTATGATGCTGATCAAAGTTCGCTAGGCTTTAAGATATTTGTTGCGACGCGTATAGCTCGTTGGTAGATCTCACATGCGGCTGGCTTCTGGCTATTTCTGCTACATTCAATCTGTTATTAGGTTTGGGACTTGATTATAGCTTTTGGTTTTCTATTTTTTTTGTTTTTTAGTTTTGCTTTCCAGCACAGCTTGTGTTGTTGGATAACAGCCAATCAGCATGTAGGAATCATATTGGTGGGTGTCATTGGTGCCCCATCATCAATGGGTGCTGGACAATGCATGTTGAAAATTAATTTTAAAATTGTTTAATTTGCTTTGGATGAATGCCGTATAAAATGTAATTATTTGTTTTTATGCATTACATTCATTTTAAAATAAATCAATGATAACCCTGAAAGATCATAAGCAAGATTGTGAAATTTGGGCCGGATATTAAACTAGTAGAACTAAATGTTCTAGGTTTAATGGTTCAACTGGGGTTAAACCAAAGGGTGAATAGGACGACGTAATAAAAATTTAAATTATTTTAATATAATTTAATAAAAAAAATAATGATACATGAATATTATTTTTATCGATTCAAAAAATAATATTTTAATTTAAGACTATTTTTTGAATATTTGGAACAATATTCTAAACAAAAAAATTAAGATATGATAATATAACTTTTTTTTTAATTTAAATATCATATTATTGTCCATCTAATTAGAATCAAAAGACATTAAATAATGTTTAAACTGACCAGTTCCTTAAAAATTAAACTGGTTCACAAGTTCTTCAGTTGTTGTTTCTGGCGAGTTTAATCTCGGTTCTATACAAAAATTGTTCTGAGCTTGGACTGACATGGTTGAATGACCGGTTCACGATCAAATCGGCCGCTTTGGTCTCATTTTTAAAAGCATGGTCATAAGTCAAATTCTCCATAGTACCAAGTGCAATAATTGGAAACCACAAAATGGGCTTGGAGCTAAAGGCACTAGCAATCACTTGGTCCTAAATCATCATATTATAGCTCACTAGAACACCCTCATTTATCCAGGATCTACTTGATATATTTGTAAAATAGGTCATATGGCGAACATTAGAACACTTAATAATAAGGATTGTATTGTTTCTTTCAGCTCGAGTACCGAAAGGCTAATCCAAATTTAAGGGGAGGAGATGCCAATGGCTAATCCGAATTTAAGGAGAGGAGATGCCATTGTTGAAGCCAAGCACTTGGAAGATAGTTGATTCAAGAATAAAATGGTTTCCACTAGACAATGTAGATCTTAACAGCTTTATATTAAATGAAGAAAAACGATGGAATGAGCCTAAAATATGCTCTTAACATGGAAAACATTGAAGTTACGATGAATTTTTCTTGTCATCAAATTTTAATAATTGTAAGATTTTGAAGGGAGACAATCCAAATGCATTTAGAGATATCTGAGATCGTCCTTTAAATAAAAGGGCATTACATACATACCACCCAATTCTTATTCTTTTACATATCTACACTCAAGCTTTACTTTTTACAATTATACCATCCAAATCTTTTATATTACATATAAAAATATCACTATTTTAGCTTTACAAAATTGAAATATACATTTACATACATCTATAAGGTGACATGCATGAAAATATTGAAGATTAGTTGTGACATACAAAAATTTTCTTCATTCCGCAGGACTCTCCGGGGCGTGTCACATGAGGCAATTTTTTGAGCACGAAATATTCAACCTTCAATTAAAAATCATCTAGAACTCCAATTTCAGTTAAAAAATAGTGCAGTCTCTACTATAAGATTTAACACGTAAAAAATTGAGGTGTCTCATTCTGCTTAATTCTCTTTTATTCGAGTATGTGTTGGATTTTCATGCAACGTTAAGACGCTAAATAATTATTCTATCTTCGCGGGCCTTCCGACACGCATCAAGATGTTAAATATGTAAATACATAAGAATTGAGTCGGATCTATGTAAATATTCCTTAAATAAAATATATTTAACTAAGTTGAGACAATACACAAATATGAGAGGGTAAAATTGTATTAGCTGATGAAAACAAAAGAGATGTTTACTTCCAAAGAACTTTGTCCCCTCATCCCCCAACCCCTCTCACCAACCCTCTAATAAATTGGCATATATGAAATAAATATGCATTTATAAGACGTCATAGAGAGCTATCATGTGGAGGCAATTATCAATGACCACCAAAATAAATGAAATGGGTGGTTTTTAGGTAAGTTGGCAAGAGAATAATACAATGGACCATAAGCATCCAATAAGGTGTAACAATTAAAGCAAGGGCTATCAAAGAGGTTGATGTTGGCATCATTCCCTAACAAAAAAATTGAGCCAGTTTATGCAAGTAAGCCGTTAGAACGAGTTGTTAGGCACAATAAACAAGCGATAAAAAAAAAAAAAAAAAAAAAAAAAAAAAAAAAAAACTAAAAAAACACCAAAAAAAAAAAAAAAAAAAAAAAAAAAAAAAAAAAAAAAAAAAAAAAAAAAAAAAAAAAAAAAAAAAGAAGACTACCAATTAGTAACTTCTTTAATCATGCATTTTATCTTATGAAGAGATCAAAATTAATAAGGTATATAGTTCTATAAAATCAATTTAAAAAATTGAAGCCTTATTGTTAAGGAAACAAGTTTATATTTATGATTTTCTATGCTAAACTTTTATAGAAGAGTTAATCCATAGATAACATCTTAGAGAAAAGAGAGATCCCTAGATTCTTAAAATGAGGAGATCTTGATGTTAGTTCTGGTGGAAATACTAGCCAATTCTATTAGAAATATAATGAGCAAATTTGATTGCTTGATGGTCTTTAATCAAGAGGTTAAAAAAATTTATGAGATGCTAGTTGAGGTTAACTACATAGAAGCTTCATTAGTATTTTGTAAAATTTAAAAAGAGAAATAGAAGTACAATTATTACATTATAAAAGTTAGTTAAAAAAAATTAGTAGCCTCATGAATGATCTTCAGAGTTAGTAAAAGAGGTTGAATAGATAACATTTGTAATGTTACTTAAATTATTTTTACCTTTGATGTTAAAATATAAAAATTTTAAATGATGTTCTTTTTTGGATAAATAATTAATATTAACCATTCATATGAGCTAGTTGTATTCAAAGTTGATCTTTAATATCCTTAGCATCACATAAAATGCTTAAATTAAGAAAATAAAACTATAGTAATGAAAATATTCTAGACCAAAAATGAAAATGTTACAAACATTGTTTATAATTTTCACTAAAAAATATCAAGATCAAGAGATTTAGAGTACTTCTGGATAATATTTTGATTATGGTGGTAAAAGGAGCTATTTACTTGAAAGAATGTGGAAGTAATTCACATGGTAACTAGGTCATATGCCAAATTTTAGGCATACATACTAATCATAAGAAAAGTAATATTCAAATAAGGAAATATGCTTAAATAAATTCTAGATTAAAAATGAGAGGGTGGAAGAATGTCTTGCCACCGACCCATTTGATATAAATGGCACTACCATAACCAGTATTGTTGCGTGCCAGAGAATTCACAATGGTAGAGTTATATTAATATCTCAGCGTTGCACGAGAATCAAACACAAATAAAAGAAGGGTTGATATAGGGATCACATGGGTGTTTTTACATGAAAAATTCAAAAGGGTAAAAACCACAAGGCCTAAACCAGTTGAAATAGTTTCGCCATGTCAATATAGGTTACAACACTTTACCGGCCCTTAACTAGAAGGAAGCAATATTACGTAAGTGACAGTTATCCCACTAGAATAGTGATGTTAAGGAAGTGGTGACGATCCAGTTGCTATGATGGAAGACTGGTGACAGAGATGACACAACAGTGATGGCCAAATAACAATGGTTTGAGTTGGTGGTGGTTTGGTGACGGTGGTGGTTTGGTGACGATGATGGCTAGGCAACAATGGTCCGATAGTGATGTCAGACAATAGCGGTGACCTGACTGCAGTGGTTTAAAGTGATAGCAGCCAGACGACAGTATCACAGTCAAACGACAGTAGTTTACTAGTGGCAACGATCGCGATTTGATAGCAGCGACGGCGTTGGCCAAGTTGCAGTGGCCGAGTAGAGTTAGTTCGGTGATGGTGGTGTGAAGCAATCATGGTCTGGGTATAGCAGTGGCCTAACGACGGTGGTCATATGGTGATGAAGCTCAATAACACTTAAGAGCTTGGAGCTCTTTCACCTTTTTCCTCTAGGACTTGGTCCCCCTTCACGAAGAGATATGAATATTTATGGATTTTATGAGTTGCATGCTCCGCAAATATTGCATGAATCCATACCACTCCATCAGATGATTGAAAATGATCGCTTAAATGTAATAATATTTTATGAGTATGTATGTTTCTTAACGATATCAAAATTGAGATTCATTTCCTCGAGAGACTCAATTTAACTATAAACTTGTAAAATTTAAAGATCACTTACTCTCTTAAATATATCTTAAAGTTTCTTTTTAGATT